TACTGTAACTTGAACGCAGAGAAAATAAGTAAGATGAATCAAGCATTCATTGAATATGGTGTCAAGTTGGATTCATTGACTATTGATGGGAATCCTTACATGGTGGCAGAAGCATTTCAACAGTTGCCTCAGTTATTAGGGAATGCAAAGACTAGTAATCTCGCACTGAGATGCTGTAACTTGAACGCAGAGAAAATAAATAGGATGGATCAAGCATTCATTGAATATGGTGTCAAGTTGAATTCATTAACTATTGATGGGAATCCTAACATGGATAAAGAAGCATTTCAACAGTTGCCTCAGTTATTGTGGAATGCAAAGACTAATAATTTCACACTGAGACGCTGTGACTTGAACGCAGAGAAAATAAGTAATATGAATCAAGCAGTCATTAAATATGGTGTCAAGTTGGATTCATTGACTATTGATAAGAATCCTTACATGGATAAAGAAGCATATCAACAGTTGCCTCAATTATTATGGAATGCAAAGATTAATAATCTCACACTGAGATGTTGTGACCTGAACGCAGAGAAAATAAGTAAGATGAAACAAGCAGTAATTGAATATGGTGTCAAGTTGGATGCATTGACTATTGATGGGAATCCTTACATGGATGCAGAAGCATTCCAACAGTTGCCTCAATTATTAGGGAATGCAAATACTAATATTCTCACACTGTATGACTGTGATCTGAATGTAGAGAAAATAAGTAAGATGAATCAAGCAGTCATTGAATATTGTGTCAAGTTGGATTGGTTGGATATTAATATGAAATCTAACATGGATGCAGAAGCATTTCAACAACTGCCTCAGTTATCACGGAATGCAAAGACTGAATATCTCACTCTGAGTTGCTGTGACCTGAACTCAGAGAAAATAAGTGTGATGAATCAAGCATTCATTGAATATGGTGTCAAGTTGAGTTCACTGACTATTTATGGGAATCCTTACATGGATGCAGAAGCATTTCAACAATTGCCTCAATTATTAGGGAATGCAAAGACTGATAATCTCACACTATATGACTGTGACCTGAATGCAGAGAAAATAAGTAAGATGAATCAAGCAGTCACTATAAATGGTGTCAAGTTGAATTCACTCACTATTGATGGGAATCCTTACATGGATGCAGAAGCATTTCAACAATTGCCTCAGTTATTAGGGAATGCAAAGACTAATAATTTCACACTGGTAGGATGTGACTTAAACGCGAAGAAAATATGTAAAATGGATCAAGCATTCATTGAATATGGTGTCAAGTTGGATTCATTGACTATTGATAAGAATCCTTACATGGATAAAGAAGCATTTCAACAATTGCCTCAATTATTATCGAATGCAAAGTCTAATAATCTTGCACTGAGATACTGTATCTTGAACGCAGAGAAAATAAGTGAGATGAATCAAGCATTCATTGAATATGGTGTCAAGTTGGATGCATTGACTATTGATGGGAATTCTTACATGGATGCAGAAGCATTTCAACAGTTGCCTCAGTTATTAGGGAATGCAAAGACTAGTAATCTCGGACTGAGATACTGTAACTTGAACGCAGAGAAAATGAATAGGATGGATCAAGCATTCATTGAATATGGTGTCAAGTTGAATTCATTGACTATTGATGGGAATCCTAACATGGATGCAGAAGCATTTCAACAGTTGCCTCAGTTATTGTGGAATGCAAAGACTAATAATTTCACACTGAGACGCTGTGACTTGAACGCAGAGAAAATAAGTAATATGAATCAAGCAGTCATTAAATATGGTGTCAAGTTGGATTCATTGACTATTGATGGGAATCCCAACATGGATGAAAAAGCATTTCAACAGTTGCCTCAATTATTAGGGAATGCAAAGACTAATAATTTCACACTGGAAGACTGTGACCTGAACGCAGAGAAAATAAGTGAGATGAATCAAGCATTCATTGAATATGGTGTCAAGTTGGATTCATTGACTATTGATGGGAATCCTTACATGGATGCAGAAGCATTTCAACAGTTGCCTCAGTTATTAGGGAATGCAAAGACTAGTAATCTCGCACTGAGATACTGTAACTTGAACGCAGAGAAAATAAATAGGATGGATCAAGCATTCATTGAATATGGTGTCAAGTTGAATTCATTGACTATTGACGGGAATCCTAACATGGATGCAGAAGCATTTCAACAGTTGCCTCAGTTATTGTGGAATGCAAAGACTAATAATTTCACACTGAGACGCTGTGACTTGAACTCGGCAGAGAAAAATAAGTAAAGATCGAAACAAGCAGGCATTAATATGAGTGTCAAGTTTGGATCATGACTATTGATGGGAATGTCTTACATGGATGGAGATAGCATATCAACATTTGCCTTCCAATTATTAGGAGAATGCAAAGACTAATAATTTTCACACTAGAGATGACTGTGACTTGAACGCAGAGAAAATTGGTATGATGAATCGAGCAGTCATTGAATATGGTGTAAAGTTGGATTTATTGACTATTGATGGGAATCCTAACATGGAAGAAAAAGCATATCAACAGTTGCCTCAATTATTAGGGAATGCAAAGACTAATAATTTCACACTGAGAAGCTGTGACTTGAACGCAGAGAAAATAACTAATATGAATCAAGCAGTCGTTGAATATGGTGTCAAGTTGGATTCATTGACTATTGATGAGAATCCTAGCATGGATAAAGAAGCATTTCAACAATTGCCTCAGTTATTAGGGAATGCAAAGACTAATAATCTCGCCCTGATATGCTGTAACTTGAACGCAGAGAAAATAAGTGAGATGGATCAAGCAGTCATTGAATATGGTATCAAGTTGAATTCATTGACTATTGATGAGAATCCTAGCATGGATGCAAAAGCATTTCAACAACTGACAAAGTTTCTTAAAAATACTGAGGGGAAGAGCCTGTTAGCACAAAATTGCACTTCAACAAGTGAGCAGTTATCAGCTCTTTGTTCAATGTTTAGAAAAATGAAGATGTCAAGTTATCTAACTTACGCCTGGCAAGATCAACTACAGAATCCTTCACTGACGATGATCTTATGATTGTTTCTAGATTGGCTCAGAAAGGTACGAAGGCTGGAATTTTATTGTCAGACGCTCAATATAAGCACAGATGAAGAATTTGAAGAAGAAACAGAAAAACTTTGTCCAAGAGCAGAAATAGACTGTGAATCATGGGGATTCTGTATAAGAACTCGGAAAAGGAATCAAACGTTGAAATGGTGCTGCTAATGAATTCAAATTAGATTTTTGAATTTCTGGACACGACTTCGTGAGGAAAGCGTCACTTGAGCATGTACAGATACTTAAAAAATATTTAGTTTGGAATTTCCCATAAAAAAAACTGCTAAACAACAGGCAATTCTGCTTTTCATTTGTCAGGCCTACACTTTAAATCGAGGGATCAGACTTATATTATTACTGATGCTTTTTTTATTGTTGTCGTAAATGGTTTTGTCCATTGCTTCCCATTCAATATGTTTTGGACTCTAACTCTTACAAAGGAACAGCCACCGTACATATATATCTTGAAATTTGAACTAAGATTCTTGAATATTGTAATTATTTGATATGTATTTAAGCATTATATTTGACTCTGGCTTTTTGATTAAAAAGTCACTTGGACACGCTTATCCTTGAAATATACTCAGAATTATTATATCCTTAATCAGTGTGGCAATATATTTTCAGTGTGTGTTTATAATATTAGAATATTCTCATTAAAGTTTGTATTTTTGACCATGTAATAGTTTTATTACTTATCGTTGTATTCTTACTGTTTCCCAAGCATGATCATTTTTCTAAACATAGAATGGGAAATTTGTTTTTGCTTGAGAAAGAGAAAAGCAGATAATATTATAAATATTGTGATTGTTCGATATAATATTATAAATATTGTGATTGTTCGATGTGTATTTATTTGATATATTTGACTATGAAATGAGCATATTATGCTTAAAATAAACCGAGAACTACCGAATATATAGGCTTACCATACGTCCTGGTTTAGCCGGGACAGCCCCGGTTTTAGCATGTTTCCTTCGTCCTGACGATAGACTTAAATGTCCCAGTTTTGCAGTATGAAAGTTATAAATAATTTTTCTATTCGATACTATCATAAGGCTGTTTTTTTTTAAATGGAGGCATCTGATTTACCACTGATTTGCGTCTCACTTCATTGGTTCAGATAGAGAGAACAATTGTTATGTCATAGTTATGATATGAATTATGAACAATGCTATAATTTAACATCCAAATGTACTGTCGTTGAATCATCAAAATATAGGAAACAAAAGTGCAAGTTTTCTAATGAGCCTAAATCAGATTTCCATTATTCGAAGCAAATACCAATAGAGGATATTTTAATAGAATTTACAGCTACCACGATGGTAATGATAATGGAAACATTTAAACTATTACTAAGCCCCTGGAATCGAACCAAGGGTGGCTTGTCCAATCCGCACCGTCCCGTTTTTTTTGCTTCAGAAATATGGTAAGCCTATGTATATACCGGTATCTTAATTACTGTGGCAATGTTATTATTTCAGTGTGTGTTTATTATAAACTTGAAAATATTTTTATTTAATGTTTATGTAATTTTATGCAACGAAGTAAAATTAAATTTATATCTTCATCCTCTAATAATTTTTCATCTTTGGTTTATACGCAATATAATATGGTACTCACTATTCCATTCAATTTATTTAGATTCTTATATGCTCAATTATTATTTTGGCAATTTTAATGTTGTTTATAATCTTCAACTATTTTAATCAAGTATGCTTCGTAATTTTTATGCCACTGTTTTATGAGGTGAAATTAAATTTATTCTTATTTGCTCCCTTATGCAATCCAGTATGTTACTATTCTATTTAAAACCACTGCTCTTTGGTGCTTAAGTATATGCCCCCATTTTCAATTATGCCATATAATTCTTCTATACATTCTTTAATTGCTGCAATGTTGACTAATCTGTGTATTTTTGGAATTTTATTCTTAGCTCACTGTAGGTAATAATATGTAAATAAGCCATGTTTGCATAAAGGCAGTTTGGGATTTATACCTCATATAGAGATGGAAAAAGGATATACGGTGCCTATTGAGTGTAGCTGAATGGCCAAGTGAATGAATAGAGTAAGTTTGAATTTTTTTTTTCATATTCAATTTTAATTCAGAATTTTTTTTGAAGTGAAACTCAATACTGGATTGTAAACAGGTATAAACATAGTGCCAAGTGAATGAATAGAGTAAGTTTGAATTTTTTTTTTCATATTCAATTTTAATTCAGAATTTTCTTTGAAGTAAAACTCAATACTGGATTGTAAACAGGTATAAACATAGTGCTTAGCTGTTTAGAGGGAGAATGTGCAAGTGGTCACATTTGTTGCACAAAACTATGTATTTTAAATGTTATTTAATTTTTAACATTTAGTTGTTTTCTGGAGGCAATATCGTTTTTCTTTTCCCCCAATATATATTTAATAGTCTATTCCAGGGATTTCCAAATTTTTGAGTTTGCGGCCCCTTCAATATATTAAAATTTTTCGCAGCCTCTGTTCATGTTAATGCTGCTAAACAGTTCGAAATATGTCTTTTCAAAATTTCTACAAGTTTTAATTAATTCAGGCCTATTCAATAACAAAAACAAATTAGAAATTACCCAAATTATCGATGCTCAATTATTCAGTGTGATGGGTGCGAAATTTTTTTTTGCTGCATTTCAAGTCCAGCCTAGCTTAATGTTTGGTAATGCACGCCTCGATGATAATGAATTACGATGTCTGGCCACCGACAGCATGATCCTTATCCAGGCATTGTTACTCACACTCAATGATCAAATTTAGTAAAAGGCAGCGGTTTGTGGCACTCAATCAATCCGCAGGTATTTATATGTGAGTTTGAAATGAAAGCTGACCAATTTAACAAGATTTTTGACTGGATATGGGAGGGAGGATACCACAAAGCTTGCCTGATATGTCATGTCAGCAAGTGTCGGTGACAATCTAAAAGGACATTTTCTTTTTGTGGCACTTTCTCTGTCATGAAGACTTAGAACTAAATATAGATATAGTAAGATTTTTGCATGTTTCAGTGAGTTTTTTTGGTGGTTTTAGCTTGATAAATGACAACTAATGATCAATGTGTTTGGACAATAAAAGTGTTTGTTTTTTGCACTTGTTTACCTATTCTTGGCACTATTGTGGCCTGCGATCAATACAAAAATAATAGTATGGCTCGTGAGGCTGACAACCCTGGACCATTCTTTCTAATATTTAACCCTTTTTTTTCCGCTGTATACAATCGACTTTTTGTACCATTTTATAATATGTAATGACCAGTTAACCAAACGTACGAGGAACACCCCCAATATCTCTTTAAAAAGCTTATTTTCGCGTCTTCCTACTAAAACGCGCCCAAATGACGTAGGCGCAAACCGTTCGACCCTACACCGGTAAGAAGAGAGAAATTTCAAAAAATTTTGAGAGAACGTTTCACACTCTTATCGCTTCGATGAACGTGTGTTACAAAGAACGAAATTCCAAGCGCTCTTCTGAAAGAGCGTTACATCACCTTTGCAGAAAAACCAGACTCAGCTTCGCAAGCGAAACGCGAAATAATCAATGATATGTGAGAGCATGTCCACGATAGTTGTCTGGAATCTTTGTTTGTTTATTATGTGCGCGAAATTGTTTCCCGCTCGATAAAATGACTTATTTTTGAAGTAATGACAAATACTTTCGTGTATCTCTAAGCTTTGAAATACCTACACAAATAAAATTCACTTAATAGTAAAATAAAAAGTTTACAAAAAATAAAATGTTGACAGATCAAGCACGGATCATAGTTGGATGGTTAGTGCGGAATACTTCACAAAACATGAACATAAACGTAAAATAGTCCGAAAATAACTATTATGACCAAGGATGGTAGTACGAATATATTCGTCATACGGAACAAAAGAGTTAAAGTCAAATTATTTGACCCTGGCCAACTTGAGGCTTCTTGCAGTTAGGATGTTCGATAATAAATTTTTTCGGATAGAGATGAAGCCTATGTAGAAATCCTTTTGTTAATATGTTGTTCATTTTGTCAGTTCATACGTCCCGATTGAACCGGTACAGTTCCGATTTCAGCAAGTTGTCCCCGCCGTCCTGTCAGGTTTTCTGCATAGCAAGTTCTGAAGCATAGACTAACAGAGGATGTTTAAGAAAATTTTCAGCTAGTTGATGCCTGTAATCTCATGAGTTTATACTGTAATCGAACCAAGGTTGGCTTGCCCAATTCATAATGTCCCGTTTTCTTGCTTTAGACATTGACTCATGATAAGCCTATTTATAGATGACATTTAATGTGCTGAGGTAACTCTTGCTGACTTTTATGAAAATGATATAACAAAATATTTAGTTAGTCATGGCATGGCGCGACTTATGTAACTCTTATTTGGAAAGTTTTGAGCCATCATCACCATGTTGTGTTAGTGACACCGGTCACCGGAGCATAAAACAACGTGCATTAGGCGTATGTTCAAACTTTCAACACTGCGTTTTCAGAGCAGCAGATGTTTGCAGTCGAACAAACCTATTCTTATCAAAATTCCCCAGTATGACGTCATCGTTGGTTATCGGGTATAACCCAAAACAGAATAACATAGCGCTCAGATTACAATTCGACATCGCTGTATTGCAGGCTTCATGAGCGTCAACGATAAAGAACAGTTTTAGGAAATGATTTCGAAAAGACTAATCGTGTCTCCACTATTACTAGGTAAAATAAGACTAAACGAAATGTTCAGTGCTTTTTATTAAAATTATTATATTATTAAAAATATAATTTGCGTTACGTCAAAATATTGCAGTGGAATAACTGCAGTTAAATCGAGACTAAGGAGCAATATATTCTGGTTTTGATCTAACTATGGAAGTTTTCCCGAGCATCGATTTTTTTTTATTCCCGAAACAATGACCAATCAGCGATAAGTCGACAATGACGTAACAATTGTAATTTATGCGGCCGCTCAGACAGATATTCAAGCATGGTTGTGAACATTGCCTCGTTTTCATTGTTTTTTGCTAGTTTTTCAGTTGTGTTTTCGGAAAGTAGTTGTGGATCAAATAGCTTAATCGTCAATATGTTCTTTAGTTTAGTTGCAATAATAAGAAATGTATCTCAACTCTCAAGAATACTGCGTCAGACTAGTCTAATTTTAGTTGTTAGTACCTGCAAGCGGCACGCAGGTAAATACCTAAAATAAAAATGTCGTTTTTAAACATGTACTAAAGTTCATAATGCCAACTCTCCAAAATACTCTCAAGATAAGCATAAAATTCATCATAATAAAATATAGGAAGAATTTTTCTAGGGTCAAGGAAACAGCCATTGTCGTATTCTGTTTAGATTTTTAAATTTTTTTTTGTGTTTATCAAGCATGTTATTAACTTGAAACAAGTCGACACAAATTTTATATTTGTTTTTTTATTTAAAAATAGTTTTAAGATGTGGAAACGAAACCCTGCACACTATCTGCTAAATTCAGGGTAAAATTTCATCCTAGTTAGATTTTAGATTCAGTGGAAATTTAAAGGGGCACAGAGTAAATAATAGAATTGTTTCCTGGAGTTTGGGACCCTCGCCACTGTAGGGTGGTTCACGTAAGCGCTGGTCGGTTGCAGCTTCCTTCACCATCAGGTCCATGCTTTAGAAAACAAATAACTGGTTAATCCCATACCCAACCGGACGAGAGGCTGTGGTTCGTTAGATTATTTGGCCATCCTATCGGCGTTTCTCTCTCCCGGGATAAATATGTAAACCCTATCCCATCCCTTAGTTAGAGTAACATTTTTGAACCGGGAATTACGGTTAGTGTCAAATTTTTATATAGCACAAATTTTTCCAGCACGATTCAAAAGTATTATAATTGTTATTTTTCAGTGATCCTGATCGCCCGGAATGTGAATAGCGAGTGTGATGGGGAGCCAAGCGAACTCAACCTTACGTATTCATTTCACATTGCAAATTCTCCTTCTTGCGAAGGAAACCCTTTCGTTGGCGCATTCATTCCTCATGGTAAGGACAAAATTATTATTTTAAGAATAGATGACTTTGATAAAACTCACCGTTTACCAGTTATAATTTCTGATTAACCTCGATGCTGACATATTATCACCTAATTTCATTCCTCTATTTAAATAGGCAAAAAAATAAATTGTCATAAAATATCACGTGATCTTTTCCCATCCCGGAAGGGAAGTATCGCATGTCAACTGTTCAAATCTCCTAGTAAATGACAATATCTCGACTTCGTCTACTTTGAAATCGAACATCGGCTCGAAATGTCAATACTTTTGCAAAATTATTCCGCAGCTAGTATTAAAGTTGGAGTCCATTTTTATTGAAACCGAATGTATAACTTAATTCGGTGCTCATGTAGTATGTGAACCAAGATGGCGGACATCGGAACATAGTATGTGTAAAAGGTTAGGGTTAGGCCATAATTCCAGGTACAAAGACTATGGGAGCTACTTGGTTAGTCCCCGAACTCGTAATAGAACTAAAATAAGGAAAATTGGAATAAAATTATGGCCTAATCCTAACCCGGTACACATATTACGTTCCGGGGTTTGCCATCTTGGTTCATATACTACAGGAGCGCCCTCTATTTCTTGTTAAATCCGGAATTGATTATTTTAATCGGTTTTTGATTGAGTCTACATTCTGATATTTGTTTAGAAATGTTTAAGTAAAAAAAAAATTTCAAAGTCAGACCTTTGCATTTAGTGAGAACCGGAACACTATTAGTGAAGGTTAATGTTATCTGCGCGGGATCTGCAGGAAATAAATTGATTAACAATTACACCAGATGCATTGGAGGTAAATATTTTTTTTTCGATTCATGATTCGATACAAATTATGATATATAGGGTATCCATAAAGTCTTTGAAATTTTTTTAAATTGCGAAAGGAATTTATCGGATAGTGGACACCGGAACGAGTATGTGTACTAGGTTAGGATTAGGCCATAATTTCATTCCAATTTTCCTTATTTTAGTTCTATTACGAGTTCGGGGACTAGCCAAGTGACTCTCGTAGTATTTGTACCTGAAATTATGGTCTAACCCTAACCTGGTACACATGCTACGTTCCGGTGTCCGCCATCTTGATTCACATACTTCGGGAGTACCAAATATTCCGACGCATGAAATCCAAATTGGGCTAAGTCCATTTTTCTAGTTTTGAGAAAAACTCAATTCTGAAATCATCAGATATTTGAAAATAACCAGCTTTACCTGAAAAGCGGTTATTATACGCTGATCAAGCAGAGTCTTGTTTGAGAACGGTGTGTGTATCTTGTTCTGTTTCTGCACGGCATTCCTGTTGCCGTTCCCATGGTTACTCGCACATAGGTGCTTGGAGTTATTTTTTGTTTTTTTTGTGTATCGGGCGTCACCTGGATATTGAAGATGTCCTAAGTTCTATTTCTTCCTGTATTCGTCCAATCATTGTTTGACTTTTTCATTTTATTTTAATTACTGTTAGTCTCTATCACGGGTGTTGCCGCTCGATAACCATTATTTGTTTCTCTCGACTCCTTTCACCCCGATTTATGCGATTTCGCTTCTTTTTACATTCTGAATTCATTCATAGTATAATTCATTCATAGTATATTTCATGTATGGTGAAAAATTATACTACTTAGTACTGATCACTGACTGATTATTCTGTCAACATTCCTTTTACAGCGCCTGACACACAAAGTCTTCCGGAGATTTCAAAGTTATCAAACTATCTGATTCTGGTCATCCTAGTTCAATTTATTTTGTTGCTGGTCGTTATAGTCTACTTTAAAAGAAGGTTTGGATTTCATATTACTAACTTATTAAATATGGAAACTGATTAAATCAGTGGTTACCAACCTTGATTGATCGGGGCTAATAGATTTGAAAGGATATTTGCGGGTCTGGAAAGGGGAGGGCCGCAAGGACGCGGCCCGTATATAATCCTAATACTGGTGCATATAATTGAGATATAACTAACTCGTATATTATAACTCGTATATAACTAAATTAAGGGTAATCCTGAAGTATGTGAACTGAGATGGCGGACACCGGGACGTAGTATGTGTACCATAGGTGCGATGGCGAGCGTATTCCTAACGCTTAGCACGATATGCCACACCGCCGAGCCTGTGACTCATGGATCAGTGTCATTGCTTTTTGTAACAAAAATACGCAAATAACGTGTATTTTTCAAGCATAAAAATATGTTGTCAATACATCGAGTCTAATCCTAATTCACTTTCAGGTTAAATCGTGCGACGTCACCAAGCGAAACAGCAGACGACACCAACATTTTAGAATCGCCTGAACCGGTCTACGTCAACGATCCAGCTAACATCGAACCAGAGCAATCGAATCGACAGAATAGGGAACCGATACAGACGAACGAAACGTATGAGGAAATTCCAAGCGATGTACAATATGAAAACCTGCGAATAAGGATCCCTATTTACAGCCAATCAGAACGGCTTAATTGTAATGACCATGAGCAAACTTGCAATCAATATTCTACTCAGTTAAGGTGTTCCACGTCCATTATATTGTTGAAACAGACATTAACCCAGCAGTCTATATCAGGGGTGGGCAAATCACAGTCAGCGGATCCAGCCCACCCGTGTCTGCTGAAATTACGACTATAGTTTATATTGATATATAAAATTCCGTTGTAAATATCGATGAAAATAACGTCATGATGCCCCCGATTGTGTTACACTGTGCTTCTTATTATTATATAAACGTTAGCCTAGCTGTTTTAAATAAACTGTTTTTTATATAGTTCTTCATAATGAATTTGTAGCCCCCAGTAACTGAGTCCATTATCTGTGACTAGCTCACTCAGAAAAGTGATTGCCTACCTCTGGTCTATATTATATTTGGTACTCCTGAAGTATGCGCACCAAGATGTCGCATAACCTGAACCTTAACCTGGTAGACAACCTGAGTTCAGGTTGTGCGCCATCTTGGTGCACATACTTTAGGTCTAGGACAGGGGTCGGGAACCTTTTTGGTCAAGAGAGCCCTAAAATATACATATTTTGAATTGCATTTCCGTGCGAGCCATATAACATTTCTTCACTTAATCAGGCCTGAAACGTTTACTCAAAAGTCAACACATACAATGTCAATATACATTTAATGTGACTTCTGATGCTGCATGTTGTCGCTGCGGGCCTTGAACGGTTGCTCACATGCAGCCCAAGTTGAAATCTACGATACTCATCACCTTTTTTCGTTTAGGCATCTCCGTAGTATTTTAAAACTCTATCGCTTTGTGATGTCACAATATATGTTCCAGAATCCCCATGTTTTGTCACAATGCCTGTCTGGTAATTCTCTTACATAACATAGACATGCGTTGGGCCCGCGTTGTCAAACGTATTGGGAATTTTTTGCCAAATTTTGCCATAAAATAGTTTGAAGTCTAGTAACAATAGTAAGCTTAATCTTAGAATAATAGATTTTTCTGGGAGCCATATGCCGTCACCAAAAGAGCCATATATGGCTCGCGAGCCATGGGTTCCCGACCCCTGGTCTAGGAGGTCCTTATATTTATATATACGTTCTTCTTTAACGAACGAAATGTATCATATGATATTCATAGCCCATAATATATTAGTAATAAGAAAAAGTCATATTGTTTTCAAAGGAACAAATGAGATAGCGATCGGAGACCGCCGACTTATCGATCTAGCGGTGTGTATCCTTCGCTATGACTCAATAGCGACACCGCGTGTCCCATCACTAATTAATTAATACCTCGCTAATTATACGACGTGATTCAACCAAAATCAACAGGCTTCAGGTCAGATATGATGAATGCACATGCAAAATTTGGAGCAGATTCAACCTCGCTTTCGTGAGATATCACGTAACATACGAAAGTGTCAAACAGACACTCTTCTGGCAGAACATCACCAAAACAAAAGCTTTACAATCGACTACCTAGCTCCGGATTGGTACAAATTTCGGCTTAAGATATTTTTCAACTTCAACTTTCGAACTATAAGTGAATCAAAAATTGATAAAAAAACTTTTGCGTATGTAATCTGTGTTAGACTGTTTAGGTAACACAACCATGGCTCTTGTGGTGGGTGCCGTTTGAATAGGGACGCAAACACGCGTAAGTGTGGCCATAGGCGTAGCAAGGAATTTCCAAGGGGGTTCTGAAATTTCAATTGTCGAGTTAGACCTATCAGCTAGCGGGTACGACAGGTAAACTTTAGTTTTAACAGTCTTGAAGGTCTAAATAGAGTTTTAAACTATGAAAATTTGCTATGTGTGATTGCTGAAATGCAGTGTGGGAAATTAGAGACTGTTAGCATTGATTTCATAATGACTGCAGTATGATAAATATTATGCAATGTGAGACAGTTTCCTGGTTCCGGTGTGAATAATACGTCATGTGATATAGAAGCATTAAAGAATTATATTACGCTTAAACTAATTGTTCTATGTAAATTGATCCTGGTAATAAAGTTGATGACATTCAAAATGACCAAGTTGACATTCCCTGAGTCGTTACCGATCAAGATCGATAAGTAATAACTAATAATGTTAACTTTTCTTCCAAATTGAGTAATTGTGAGCTTGCATATCTTAGTTGTCTTAAGAAACAGTGAATCATAAGTTTCGGGTAACTAACTTTTGCCTGTTATTATTATTATTCAAATGAAAATCCTTTGCTGTACAAATGTAAAGCCTGCCCACTGAAATAAAAAAGTTCATTGAATTACCGTGGATTTTCGAGTAATTCTGAACATATTTCTTCCAAGGTCACAGCAGATAAGGCACACGAACTGATTTCGCCGACGCCGTGCGTGTCAATTACCCCAGCGCAGTCAGTTATATAATTCCAAGCATGACATACTAATATGAATAGTCATATTTACCGAAGGTAATATTCTGTTAGTTTTGCGAAGTGTGAGAAGACTTAAGCGTTAGAAACAATAACCTCTAATCATTCTACTTTGCTCGAAGTTTTACCGAATACATGCTGCTTTATTAAATTAGCTTCAGTGATTATATATGTTCCTCTACGGTATTTCAGAATGAAGATAAAAACTTTATTCGTAGTTCTACTGTTCAAAGGTATGTTATTTTTTTATGAGAATTTTGTCAACGCAGTGAAAAGCGCACTCACTCAGATGCCAAGGAGATTCGGTACCAATTTGGTATGCGATCTCAATGAGAGAAAGGGCTTTATTATTTCTCAACAGAAAACGAGCATTGCAACAATAAACACCTCTTTGGTATACGTTTAATTCCATAAAGATATTCTCATAGAATTCAGTTCCTTAAGCTTGAGATCACACAACCGCTGAGATTGAATACCGAAGTAGCACCGGATATTCGTTTCTCTGCCAAGTTAAGAGAGGACACTCATATTCCTAGAACTATGGTCGTGCATTTCGAGCCAGTAATACCGATTAAAGTAATTCGAAATTCTTAGTTGTGCTAAAGTTCACTAATACATTTCAAAGTAAGTTTTTGCTCCGGAAAACAGGTCTACTTATTCGTTATATACTGCACAGGGTGGCCCAGACATAGGTTAGCAGTTGATAAAATAATGAATTATTAATTTAATAAGTCTTAACCCACTTTTAAGCCCACTAATGGTGCTCATATAGAAGTGTATTAAAGGCATTTTTAATTAAACGTTTAGAAGTGTATTAAATATGTCAATGAAAACTTTATGGAATACCGATTAACATAAAACAACCCTCATCGCGATATCACTTTGTAATGATTTTTTGAATTGTAAAGGGACTTAATGGACACCTATATATATAAATATGACAGATATAGTATTATATTGCCCTCTACACACACACACATATAAATAAACAGCGTAATCATACGAAACGCATTTATTCAGGTTTTATCAGAGGCTCAATATCACAGTGCGATGGAAGCGAAATGATTATTTCTAACGGAACCGGTCATATTCAATCCCCGAATTACCTAAACGAATACGGGGAAAAAGCAAGTTGCACGTGGAAATTTGTCTCCGAAGATAATGACAAATTTATACAGCTGATTCTTACAGTTGAATACCAACGGCTATATTATGTGGACAGGATGTATAAAGTTTGTTCCGGATCATACATACTAACAATTAATAACGGTAATTCGGTACTTCTAGTTTATCTTTTTGAGACTTCGCTGTAACGATATAATTTCATGCCCAAGCCTTAATATATCAATGAATTCACTCAGCAATGGTGGCCAACCCAATTGATAGCAAGCGCAACTGGCTGGTTTCCTCCAGAGCGGGGGTCGGCAACAATTTGTCGCTCGCGGGCCAAAATTATGGGTTGCAATTCATTGGCGGGCTGTACATGTTTTTAGAAAGTTGAAAACCGAACGAATGATACTTTTTATAATAAAAATCAAGCAGTGATAGGCCTACATCTTTCGAACAGAATATAGATTTATTTTCTCATTGCACTTAGCGTCAACTTTTCCGTGTTTTGTTGCCATTTGTCTAATTATAATTAAATTATAGGCTCATTAAACGAGTAATTGTGAATTATATACTTGTTAGGTTATAATATAATTTTGTCTACACGTGTCTCACAATAAATTCTGTTACGTAAAGAATATAATCGTCAAAACAGCTGTTTTGACTATAATTAAGTGAAGCGTCGCGGGCGGGATAATATCACTCTGCGCGCCGGATCCGGCCCGCGGGCCGTAGGTTGCCGACCCTTCCTCTAGAGTATATATTCACTCTAATTTCTTAGTAACCTATTGTTGATCATTCAGTTTTTAACGTGTTATATATGCCACACCGGGCGTCACTGATGGTTCAATTCTCATCCTTCATAACCGATTCATTATTCCCTTATCCTTATTATAAATTATTGACTGTTTGGTGAATGACTCATTCAAGCAAAGTACAAACTATCACATCTTATTTCAGAAACGGCAGATTGCGATAGATACATCGATTCAATTTATACCCCCGCAATTAATATGACGTATCATCAACCACAACACTGCATTGGAACGTCTGATGGAAAGCTGATGCCTTATGTTCAAGTCAGATACGTTTCAGATGGTAGAACAACGAATTATTCCTCATCCTTTATGGGATTCCGAATTCATTACAACTATACCAGATGTACACAAGGTAAAGCCTTTTCACTTTGAAGTTAAAAACAATAAAAGTCAAATTAATGGACACGTAGGTCAAATGTGATGGGCTCGGTGACCTAGCACAGTGTTCTTTAACCGGGTATATGGTATACCCAAGTGTATACCGAACCATAAATAAAGCCTACAACTGATAAACGGTATACGAATACCACCCTATACAGATCAATTATGGTCATCGTAACGCAAAACCTTTAAAGATTAAGGGCATAACCTGGGGATCGGTACATAAAAGTCGACTGCTGTACAAAATACTACAAAACTTGGGTGGATTATAGAAAGAAGATATTTTTCATAAAACGTTTTTATTTACGGCAGGCACAAGAGAAATTACAGCATCGTCAACCTATATACAAACTACTCGTAAATATGCAACTGAACATGTCAACAAATCAGAAATTTTATTCACTACTTCAGGTAAAATATCTCATTACTTGCCAACAAAAAATACAAACCTTCAAATTCAAAGTTGCCCAAAAAGTAATGGAGAGCATTTATTTTCAATATTTCAAACATCTAGAATTAGATATTTCAAGGATATCTCACAAATGTCGCGTGTTTCAAAGCACTGTCGCAAATCCTGGTATGTTATATCCGTACTCCGGCAGGCTTTGTAAAAATATACCTAAATTTTTGTTTATTCGCTGTTATGTCAAATGAAATGAAATCGCTGTTCGATAACCAGCTCTGATTCCAATTCCTCAGTAAAACTGTGGCTTGGGTTTGTCTTGTCATTTTCATACGATTGAATTTAACTTGTTGATAAAAATAAACTTGCCTTCAATTTGGTATTGCAAACATCAATAATTAGCGTTGGAAATTAGGTGATAATTTACTAGTCTTTTACTATTTCGTCTTCAGTTAGAGAACCCGTCCGCACAGAATCTTCTACTCAGTCAACAACGATAATCATATTGATATCCGTCATCATATTGCTTTTGGTGCTGGTAGGGGCAATTGTGATTTACTTCAGAAAACGGTAAGACTGTTGTTTCATTGATTGATAAGGATTTATAACATGAGTTTGTGCGATTTAATTTTGTCAACTTTTGCGACAACAGTAATTGCGTACTGCTTTTCAAATTTATAAATCAAAAGCATGATTTCCTGTCGCTTGTTCAAGAATTACAGATATTATTAAACAGCGAAAATTATTCCAGAAGGAGGTAAAATTATTGTTTTACAGTCCGAGAAAGGGTCATGATTTGCTACGATTTGAGTCTACCAAATTTTGGAGCTTAAACAGATTTCGACTAAGCACTATACCGATGTTCTTTCAAACGTTTTTTATCATGACCCACTTAGCGCGGCCAAGTTTTTTCGTGAACCTCGGAAACTTAAATGAGATCGATGTGCTTGCATATTCTCGCACAAAAGATCGAATCTTGGGTGACCGTACATTTGAACCCATGCGTATATCCGCGGGTTCAATCTATATGCGGGTGCTAAAACCCATGGGTTAGGGTTAGTATGGGTTCAAATATCCGCAGAACAAAAAAAATTCCATAGGTGCAATAGTATGCAGGTGTAATTGTCGTGGGTTCAAATGTACGGGAACCCGAAGCAAGTATAGCTAGTTTTGACAATAATGGGTACCGCGACCCCATTGATTCCTTTCGCGACGCACCGAGGGTCGGGATCCACAGTTTGAAGAGCTTTGCACTATACAATACGATTACAATGCCTCTTATTGGGTAAAACTTAGGACATATGAACATATGGCGTATGTATACGCTTTGGCTCCAAATAAGATTCTAACAAGCAGTCATCGCTGAGTAAGGAGTTACTGTAGATATGGAGGACCGTGTTATAATATAATTTTGTGATATGTATGATGTAATACCGCAAGATGACGCTATTGACCTCTACTGTTTTGACCTTGTCAGATTCAGATATTTAATTTTTTCGTGCAACAAACATCGTACATATGAACAAAAAATAAATAAATTCATCCAAAAACGTACAATGTTTGTCTCTCCGAGGCCGACATTCATCTTGTCTCTGCACGTGTTTGTGTGACTTGCTGCTTGGTCTGCTACTGCTATTGTATCTTGATTCTGAAGTGCTTGACTCTTACAATAAAGTAGTGTTGTAGTGAAACTTGGTGCTTGTTCATAAAGAACTAAGGGCAGAGTACACTATAGGCCGGAATCCCACCCGTCCAGCGTCGATTGCTGTGTAAAACGACGTAGTACGCGCAACGCTGAGCATAATGAGGGGATTATCTTAAAAATTATCAAAAACTAAGACGAGTAGCAACTCTTATTGTTATTGTGTAATATTCATAATCCTTAGGTTGCGCACAACAGTAGCGGAACAACAGGAACCAACATCAATCAACAATACAACGCCAGATGCCGGGAGAAGTCCGCCGACATCTGCCCAGCCAAACCCGACGTACGAAGAAATCAGCGACAAAAAATACGAGAACTTGCCGACACCAATTGAAGAAGATCCGTATTTACAGCCGTTCGAGATGGGCAACTCTGGATATGAGGCCACAACACCAAGGCGTCAATACTAACGTAAATAACAAGAGATCAGCAAAGGGGCATTCACAACAAAATTTCATAAAAAATTAATACTAAGAATAAAAAAGGACCTAACGTGATAAGAGTTGCAATACCATACGACCAAAAGTACTACCGTGTGTCCCCGAAAATAAGACTGGATCGAATTTCATTTTTTTTCGAAAAATAATGCTGCGGCTTATTTTAGGGGTTGCTTTTTATTTTCATTTATCAAAAATAAAATTACAAAGTAAAACATTACGGTATTGTCAAATATACAAAATATGGAAACCGTTTATCTATAAATAAAACGTTTTTATTTTAAAAAACTGCTAAACACAGTTATTCAAAAATGACCAATCATTTAAAACGTGTAGGAGAGATTTCTTGTTATCGACCAGATTAAAAAAAAATATATCTATTATTTTCAGCCTAGGGCTTATTATCTGGGAAACGCGGTAGTACGCTTCCGCTATCCACATAAATTGTCCTCGGGCTCTGTGGCGACCATGGTTTTAACTATTGAACGCATATATGGCATGTCAGAAAACAGGTAAAAGCAGCTCAGTCGCGGAGGCCTGTAAATTTTTTTTAGTGTGAGTCGCTTGGATGCAGGAATGCCACCGGCCCACCACTTTTTCAAATCTCACAATTCGGGAGTTCAGCGCGGGGTATATATTGTAAGAAGCCTCCGCCACTTAAGCAAAAATGTGCGATTTGATAAAACACCAATGCCACGTTTTCAAAATAACAAATTAGTAATTATCTAGTTAGGTTAGGAATGATTTAAAAATTCAATTTGCAATCTGCATTCCTAACCCTAATTGGGCTTTGTACAAATGCTCACAACGTGGTATTTCAGGACCAATGGGCTGCTGTTACAATACATAACCCGTTGTCACACCAGTACGACAGTACATGAAACATAGCAACCGAACTACGGTATTTTATAGCAAACAACACTGCCGGACTAAGGTATATTTAGAATTGTTACGATATTAAAACTAAAATTAGCTAATTGTATAATGACTTGAATCCGTTCAATTTTGAAAAATGAAATTTTTTGCCCTGTTCTATTTTCAATGCTCAAATTCATTTGAAAGTTATAGCTCGATTTTATATAAGTTATGTTTATTTTGGGGTAACGTTATAATTTTAGCGTTTTTGGTGGACGGGCGTGTACTTATACGTTTTTATCTTTTTACTGAGTTCTGATTGCATTTCAGTTGACTCAGGTAATTTTGTTATTGTTGTTATGTTTGATACCAAAACGACCAAATTAGAATCGATTGATTAAAAAAATGCTAAATTGGTGCGTTTCGACGTTAGTATACAACAAAGCCTATTACGGGTTGAACAAGAGTTTAATTGCGCACTACCTAATGAAAGAGATAAAAGAAACTTACGTTTTATTCTTCTACATAATCCACAACAAGTTTCGTAATCCTTCTCTTATTTACTCTCTATTTAAACATCGTATAAGTACAGTCCATAACGCAGTAATGAAACAAACGTACAAGGAAACGTCATGTTAGCGTGACTTCTCTGGGTGCCGAAAATCAGTCAATTATGATGTCACTTAAAACAAACAGGCTTTCGAATGTTACTCCATAATTCTAATCGGGTACTACTATTCACATCTTCATTACGAATGCTTTTACAAACTCCACTGGGTACTGATACGTAAGGAGTAACTAAACTTTGGAAACTACAAGAATAGTTGCCTAATTGTTTCATGTACCTCTGATTTAGAATGAGTTCCTATTTAGCTGTATGAATAAATCGGCGTTATCAGTTTTCCTTTCTATTCCATTTTTATGTATATTCTCTTTATTATATGTTCTCACCGATGCTGTAAACCAGTGGTCGGCAACCTTTTTCCAGTAACGGACCGGTAAAGCCTGACCGAAATTTTGGCGGACCACCTTTATACAAACGAAGTAATCTAATGTAATAAATAATATGCGTTAGAAAATGTATGTTGACAATACATTTGAAAACAAAGGTGATACTATTCACGTAACGTATTTCCTACGTTAAACCCACTTCGATCTTTCGCTTTTGTAATTGTCATTTAAAAAACCCAACCTCACATAAAGATAACAATGGCATTGTACGTTTTCATGTCACCTTTCTGCGGACCGGTAGTGACCTTTCCGCGGCCGGCGATGGGCCGCGGCCCGGTGGTTGCCGACCACTGCTGTAAACTATATAAATGGTTGCTTGCAGTGGCGGAATTTAATGGATTCCCATGAACCCGTTCTTGGAAGGTCGCGATAATCTGTTTTTAGTTGCAGGCGTTAGACGACCGCACAAAATGAGCACCGCAACCGAGATGGGATCTTTTGCACAAAGCCCCCGCCACTAACGCAAAAATGTGCGATTTGATAAAACACCAATGCCACGTTTTCAAAATGACAAATTAGTAATTATCTAGTTAGGTTAGGAATGATTTAAAAATTTAATTTGCAATCTGCATTCCTAACCCTAATTGGGCTTTGTACAAATGCTCACAGCGTGGTATTCCAGACCAATGGGCTACTGTTCCGACACATAACCCGTTGTTACACCAGTGAGACAGTATATGAAACATGGCAACCAAACTACGGTATATTTAATTTATAGCAAACAACACTGCCAGATTACGGTATATTTAGAATTGTTACGATATTAAAACTAAAATTAGCTAATAGTATAATGACTTGAATCCGTTCAATTTTTAAAAATGAAATTTTTTGCCCTGTTCTTATTTTCAATGCTCAAATTCATTTGAAAGTTATAGCCCGATTTTATATCAGTTATGTTTTTTTTGGCGCAACGTTATAATTTTAGCGTTTTTGGTGGACGGGCGTGTACTTACACGTTTTTATCTTTGTACTGAGTTCTGATTGCATTTCAGTTGACTCAGGTAATTTTGTTATTGTTACTTATCGATCTTAAGATCGGTAAGTATGTTGATAGGTATTTGTCTGTATGTCTGTGTGTTAGATGCACGCGATATCTCACGAAGTCGAGGTTGAATCTGCTCCAAATTTTGCATGTGCTTTCATCATATCTCGGATCAGAAGCCTATTGATTTTGGATGAATTATGTCTTATAATTAGCGAGTTATTAATTTATTAGTGATGGGACACACGGTGTCACTATGGAGTAAGACAACTGTTTTAGGGATCCCCTAACCTCCGATCGATAAGTCTTCGGTTTCTGACCGATATTCTAGTTGTTATGTTTTATACCAAAGCGTCCAAATTAGAAATGATTGATAAAAAAATACTAAATTGGTGCGTTTCGACGTGAGTATACACGAAGCGTAGTACGGGTTGGCCAAGAGTTTAATTGCGCGCTACCTAATGAAAGAGATAAAAAAATATCTAACGTTTTATTCTTCTACAACAAATTCCGTAACCCGTTCCTTATTTACTATCTTTGATTCTTTGCATAAGTCCAGTCCATAATGCAGTAATGATACAGACGTCCAAATAAGCGTCATGTTAGCGTGACTTCTCTGGGTGCCGAAAATCAGCCAGTTATGTCACTTAGAACAAATACATTACACTAAATAAAAAGACAAATGATGAAGACTATTACAGCATTTGCCAGGTAAATTTTTGACGGCTGTTTTCACGAAACTTCGTTTAATTCAGAAAAATAAGAAAAGGCCAAACATTGGTAATAAAATAGAAATCTGCAGAATGTTTTCCGTAAATGCTTAACACAGCGCATATTGCAAAGCACGCCATGGACTCGATGTGTATTGTTCACAAACCAGGCATAAAGGAAATACGCAAAATTTTCTGTGGAAGATGATTTTAAAAGTAAAGTATATGAAATTATTTTGTAATTGCAGTAATTATGCACATTGATGGGTACTCCCGAAGTATGTGAACCAAGATGGCGAACATCGAAACGTAGAATGTGTACCAGGTTAGGGTTAGGCCATATTTTCAGTTAAAAATACTACGGGAGTCGGTGGGCTAGTCCCCGAACTCGTAATAGAACTAAAATAATGAAAATTGAAATAAAATTATAGCCTAACCATAACCCGGTACACATACTACGTTCCGGTGTCCGCCATCTTGATTCACATACTTCGGTAGTACCCATTAATGAATTTATACATTCACTAATTTAGAGAACGTATAACCCTTACAATAAAAATATATATTCGTTTTACAAAGATATCAATACGTGTGAATTCAATGTCAGTCCGCACTCACGCCCTGATCAAAGTGTTATGATATACTGCCAGGAAAAAAAGTTTGATGGCTAGGTCAGCATGTGAAATGTTATGCGAGCCTTTCCCGGTGGTGTGGCTCATTGTGCTAAGCGTTAGGAATACGCTTGACACCGCACCTCTGGTTGCTCCACGTGAGTTCGCAGGTTCGATTTCCATGCGGGAATGGTTATATGCGAGAGGCTTGCTGGGCTCCTCGCGCCGTAAGGTGGTTCACGTGATCGCTGGTCGGTTACGGCTTCTCTACCACCAAGTCCATGCTTCCGAAAACAAATAACTAACTAATCCCATATCCGACATGGAATGGTAACCGGACGGGAGGCCGTGGTTCGCCATATGGTTAAGCCGTAGTATCGGCTTTCCTCTCCCCCAGGATAAATATGTAAATCCTATCCAATCCTGACTGATGGCATTGACACTGCTTGTAAATAACGTAAAATTGATGATGTAGAGCAGGGGTCGGCAACCCACGGTCCGCGGAGTAACATAATCCGGCCCGCGACGCTTCACTGAATTCTAGTAACAAAACAGCTGTTTTGATGATTATATTTTTCACGTTACACAATTCATTGTGAGACGCGTGTAGACTGAATTATATTATAATCTAACATGTATTAAATGCACAATTACTCGTTTAATGAGCCTATAATTCAATTATAATCAGACAAATGGTAACAAAACGCAGAAAAGATAATGCTAAGTGCGAAGGGTTCAATTGCGCCGGAAATGCAATGCGATGAGGAAATAAATCTATATTCTATTCGAGAGATGTATCACTGCTTCATTTTTATTATAAAAATGTTCATCCGTTCGGTTTTCAACTTTCTAAAAATATGTAAATGTAAAGTAAACCTATGGTTCGTTTCGCTAATATGTTGTTGTTTTTCCTCTTTGTTATAGCATTTTCCTCTTGTTGTTATGAATAAATCGCTTTTCTCATCCACTACTGGTCGTCGCTATCTTGGGAGGTTAAGAGACTTGACTTCCACACCCACAGCCAGCACCATTAAACAAATTCTTACTCTCTAAAATCGACAGTGGGCAATGCAGAAGAAAAGGTTGGAGACCACTGACACTTTTTTTGTGAAAATAAAATCTATCCCGCAATCTAATCGCGTGTTGTGGAACGTTGTGCCATCTTGTCAATTCAAAACCTTGCCGCGAGATGACGCTGTAGATCACGGTTGTTTTTGCATATGCATCAGCAGCAGCACACGTGTGCTTCTGCACTTGACTGCTGCCGGTTTGCGTTTCTATATCTGCCGTAACGGTACCGGCACTTGTTTTCTACTTGAAATTTACAAATGGCGAAGAAGGGTGGACTTATTCCGGCATTGCCGTCCGATTTTAGTAAATCGAAGTACTGGGAATCCTTCTTTAAGAAGAGAGTGAATGCTTTCGAATGGTATGGGACTTACTATGAATTATGCGGGATTCTGCATCGGTATATAAAGCCTTCTGGTAAGTTGCATCTTATTATCATGTTATACCGGTAGGTATAAAATGGATAGATTTATTTTAAAAATCTAACATGGCACCATGGAACTGTGGAACAAATGTCACCTTATTTTCCATACACCAGTCTAGCTAAGTAGACTAAATGCTATACCGGTAACTCCTTAAAATAACACCCAATGAAAATGCAGAAAACTGCTTGAATAACGCCAAACAGAAATGTTCTGTCACATTTTTAATTTTTTTTTAAAAAGTCCGTCTGCTGCAGAATAAAATTCTTCTATTCATTTATTTTTTATCTATATCAGAGCTACTCAACTATTTTTGCCGAAGATCCGCATACAAAACTTCAAAAATATTTGGGTCCGGCCTTTCCAGAAATTATATTTCGGCTTCCTTAAACATGCACTTCCTCGGCCGGCTAATGATTATTAGCTAATCAAGATTGTTTATTATGGCGTTATAGTTCTTTTCATATATATTCAAATCTATAAAAGTGATTTTCTAAAAGGAAATTTCAAAAGTGGGGCTCATGATCCAAAATAAAGAATTAGGCGCGGTCCGAATCAAATACCCGAAAGATCCGGATTCGGACCGCGGTCCGCCATTTGAGTAGCCCTGATCTAAAGGTGTTGTAGACTCAATGACGGATCATTTCGTCCTTCACAGCACCTGTCATTTCATTTATTACAAATATTTTGTTCTTGATTGCTTGTTTTTTGAAGTGACAAATAAAATAACTCTGACTCTGACTCAGATGCTTTTAGTGTAAGTTTACTCAATAATCAGAGTAAATAACGTTGAAAAATTGATAAAAAATATAACTGATTACAGAATCAGGAAAACGAACAAAACCTGAAGTAAGATTTGAAATGCACAGTTTTCAGATTGGAAGGTGTTGTCCAACAGGTGTTACGTGTTCTTTCACCCAAAATAAACCCATTTTCAGCAAAGCAGGTTTGTCCCATGCCGAATAGAATATAGGGTTCGGCGCAAGACAAGATTTTATTGAAAAAAATGAAAATTTGATCTGTATTTTCACATCACTTTTTTTTGGTGTTTTTCAAGAAATTGTGTCGTTTACTTCGCTATACATAATAAAGTACCAAGTGGGCAATTTCACTGTATTTTCTATACTGTGTTCTAGTGCTGTATCAGAACGAGCGATATCAGGCTTTATTGATGCTTCCAGCCATGCTCTGTTGGCCAAATATGCTCTTGGACTTTGTACAATAAGAATTTGAAAAATGACACCATCAGCATTAGCCTATTAGAATGGTATTATTCTGCCCAGTCACGGTCCAGTGATTTATTTTGATAAAGGAATTCATATGGTACTTACTTTCAAGTCCCATGCATCTGAAAACAAATAACTGGCTTACTAATCCTATACTCGACATGGAATGGAACGGTAACCGGACGAGAGGCTGTGCATTGCCACAAAGTTAAGCCGTCTTATTGTCTTTCTCGATCCCTGGATAAATCCTGTCTTACTAGAGTAGACTTGATCTACCAACTGACATTTTTTAATTGTTCTAACTGATTTTTTAGACAACATATTGATGGCTGGATGCGGGAATTCAGAGTTGGGTGAAAACATGTATGATGCCGGTTTGAAATCGATCGTGAATATTGACATTAGCCAGACAGCCATTGATCAGGTAATAAAATCAGATATCATTTTTATCCCCAGGGTGGGAAAAGTAGATAGGATGACTTATTCTTATGGTTTACTACGGCCTCTCGTTCAGCTTCCAGTCCATATCGGGTATGGGATTAGTTAGCCAGGTAATTGTCTTCAAATTCATGGATATGATGGTGGAGGAAGCCGTGATTGATTTGAGATTATGTGAACCTTCCTGCAGCGGTGAGGAGTCCAGCAATTCTCTTGCACATTATTATCTTCCACAGGATTCAATGTTAACCAGCGCGGCATAATAAAAAACGTGATGGCAAGTGTATTCCTAATGTATAGCCTGCCTGTCTCATTATGTTTTGGATGGGCGGGCAAGATGAAAATTATGCTCACTAAGTGGTTTTTAGTAGACAGCCTTGTTTTGATTGACGATGGTTCTATAGATCGACAGTATGGCGCTAAACTGGGTTGCTGTGCCTTATTCAGAGGTGTGAAAACACCCGACAGAAATAAATGGTAAACTTCTAGGCCGCTTGTGTTGTGCCCTTTCAGAGATAAGAAGTAGACATAGCTCAGGGTGGTCCAACCCCAGGCCGCGGGCCACAAGTGGCCCGTCGCTTCATTATCTGTGGCCCGTGTCACATTCGGAGAGTAATCAAAAAATTGCATTTTGTGTTGTTTTCGTAATAAAATTATTCAGAAAAATCACTGAGAAATGAGAAATGTCACTGAGTTGACTAGTGTTATGGCTAGCTGAGGCAACTAGCAAAGTTGAATGATATGCTTGGCAGTCTAAATTATTATCTGGCTTTCCAATTTTTCGGTCGGGAATATAGGCTAACAAAATAGGCATAGAAAACTAAAAAATCGAATGAGCTGGATTCTATTAGCTTTGGATGGCTATGTCTCATAACTATGTGTTTGCACAATAAAGGTGTTTGTTTTGTATTGCACTGTTCACCTATTCTTGGCACTATTGTGGCCCGCGAACAATTCAAAAATAAATTTGTGGCCCGCGGAGCCCACAACCCCAAACCACCCTGACATAGCTCAAAAAATGACCCTTTCACTAGGACACTTATCTTTAGATGTTGAAGCGAAGAGGAGACAGAGAAACATTAGAATATAAGAAGATGGATCTAACTGATTTAAAATTTGAAGACGAACATTTTTCTGTCATTGTAGATAAAGTAAGTTTATGAGGTCCTAGTTTTAAACATGAATGATCTATTTTTTCTTTAAAATATATCTTCGATTCACAAGTCACAGAAGTCTAAAACGATTAGAATAAGTTTTGTTTATTTTAGACACTTTCTGAATAAGTTTGCGTAGTTTCATATGAAAATATACAGTACCAATAGAAGAGAAGTTTGTCACAAGGTTTGAGGATCTTTGCATAACAGGTGTGTGCCTGTTGGCCACAACTCGGCCTGCCAAGAAATTTAGTGTGGCCCTTGTCAACACTTAGATTTCTCCTCATCAAGCATAAAATTATAATTTAGAGTTTATGTTTAAAAAGGCGTTTACAATGGTAAAAATACATTATGGCGGTCCAGCTATATGTCTAAAGTTGGTTATATGGCTCTCTCCTCATACAAGTTACGATAAGTATGCAAAACGCCATTTTATGCCAAACCATTTTTGTTTTCTATATTTTTCTTTCTTTCCTTGTTTTTACTATAAAATTAATTATGAAACCCTTTTTATGACGAAAATAAATTTTTATTTCAAATTTTTTTCTAAATTTCAGGGAACTCTAGATGCCATAATGTCTGATGATTCCTCTCAAAGTAACGAAACCGCAGATAAAATATTTTCAGAATATTTCCGAGTATTGAAGAACGGCGGACGATATGTTTGTGTCACATTAGCACAGGATTATATATTGAATAAAATATTGGAATACTTTACAGAAAACGATTGGCTTGTTAGATTACATAAGGTTGGTGGTTATAATTTATTTTATACTAGTCAATTATTTTGGTGAAGACAATGAGTAGAAAGAGCACCGATGGTAAATGTTTATTGTAAAAAAACATCAAATGGTGATTTATACCCTATTTCCATCCTTTGACACCATAAACTGACTGTACTTCCTGTGCCGTACTTCCTTGTCTTGTGTATTGGGGCGTGTATATATAAGATAGGATAGGATTTACATATTTATCCCGGGGGAGAGGAAAGGCGATAAGACGGCTTATCCATATGGCGAACCACGGCCTCTCGTCCGGTTAGCATTCCAAGTCGGGTATGGGATTAGGTTTACTGTATTTTTTTTTTTCTTTTCGGAAGCATGGACTTGGTGGTGGAGGAAGCCGTAACCGACCAGCGGTTACGTGAACCACCCAACGACGGCGAGAAGTCCAGCAATCTTCTCGCACATAACCATCCCTGCATGGGATTCGAACCTGCGAACCCACGCAGAGTAATTAGAGGTGCGGTGGCGAGCGTATTCCTAACGCTTATCCCGTTGAGCCACACCACCGCGCCGCGAGCGAGGAGTCCAGCAATCCTCTCACACATAAATATTCTAGTATGGGATTCTAGCTCACGCCGGGTAATGAGAGGTCATAGTGAGCGTATTCTTAACACTTAGCTCAATACGCCACCCCGTCGAGGCAGCTTGTCTCGTGTAACCTCAACTAAGAATGTTTATTTGTTTTTTTATATTTTGATAAAACAGGTTTTCATGTCAGATGAGAATCAATCAAACAATCTTCCTGTCTTTGCCTTCGTAATGACAAAATTCAAAAATTTACCAAAGAAAATTCTTGAAATTTGTGTTGATGACTCCTTCACACCAACTAGAGTCGCAGAAAAGGTAAGGGTATTTTATTACTTTGGTGGTAGACATTTTTTTAGGTGTGTGAAGTTGATTAAAAATAAAAAACCATTCATTCGATTTGTTCTTGTTGGTCTTTATTCTGGATATTTACGTTCCACCGACGTATTTTTAACATTTTTAATTGAATAAAACATACTTTTGTCTCACTACCTGTTATTTGTAGCTCATTGTTAGCTAGTTATATTTGAGGTAAAAAGTTTGAGAACTACTGTTTTAGAGTAAAAGTTAACATAGGTTTACTGTTAAGGAAATAAGAATTAGGATTTGTTTGTTCAAATATTGTTGCATTGGATGAAATTATGATGAGATTTTGTATGATTTTGTGAGTTTTTTTTACCAATTAGTAATTACTATATTGTTCCATCATACAGGAAAATATCAAAGAATTTGTGAAGTCACAACAGCATTATGCGGCATATAAATCAAGTTTAAACAAAGAAGTCGATCCTACTAAGGACAACCCTCCAATTGAACTGTTTAGCGCAAGTAAGTTAGCAAAATTATAATAATGAAGCGACTGTTATTTTTAGTGGGACAAGAATCTTTCCTGTTCGGTCTTGCCTACTCAATTTATTGCAGCCTGGGTGAGATATTGGCAGTGGCCTGTCTAGATGCCAGATGGTGGCCAAAGAGGAAGCTGCGCCGGACAGCGCGGACTAGAACGCAGCAGTCCTAAACTGCAGTTATACTTGTTGGGGTGCATGTCGCACACCCGTGTCTCAGGCCAGTTAGGTCTTGAAAACATGTATCCGGTCTCTATGTTACACTATTTAATTATGCAGATTGCAGATACTGTTAGAGTTTTGAGGGCAAATAAGCATACATACATACAGCACGTTATAGTTGCTTGGTTTGATGATTTAAATAAAATTATTACGAACAGTTTACAACAACTGATTGTCTGAGGAAGTCTGATTGTAATCAGACGAGACGCTACAGAAACGCTACGCTACAGTCCTGTGCAGCAGGACTCTTGAATTGGATAGTTAAGTAACTTATTTATTTTTTATCATTTTTACATTTTATTTCAGCTGACTCCGTCAATCCTAGGTTTATTCTCCATATCGTTGACAAATCTTCATCAAAACTCCACTGCAAGTTTGCTGTGTTTATCGTTCCTCAGGGCAGAGAAAGTGAATGGTTGTTTGCCTCAAATGAAGGTGAGAGGAAACCTAATAGCGTGTTTCTCTGAAAATATGACAGGGACTTATTTTAATTTTCTTTTGAAAAATAACACTAGAGCTTATTTTCGGGGAATGTCTTTTATTTTCATTTATCAAAAACAAAATTACAAAGTGGAGAATTTTAAGATTTTCGAATATACTGAATATGAAAACCAATATCCAATTACTTTTTAATAATAATCGACGAGGTTTTGATTTAATTCAGGCCAGGTCTTATTTTCGGTGAAATATCGTTAAGATGATTAATACAATGGCAAAACATTGTCTTGATTTTTCTCAGTCTTCCGGAAATTTCAAAACGGAAATAAGTAAAATAATTTATCGTGCTTCCAATTGATGTAGTCAGCGTTAATGAGGGAGGGCGTTTGCTTAGAAAACTGCCCTGTGACACCACCTGGAGGGCTAAATACGATAAATTACATGGTAAACAAAAATAGTATCATTTTTTTATTTCCAAATCTTTGCAGGGAGGCGAAGTGTGGTGGAACAAACTCCGTTTAAGAGAGTTTTATTTGTGTCTCTTCATCCTGAGCATGAGTACGGGACAAGAGAGGATTTACAAGCTGAACTTAATTCAACTGTAATGGATTTTGCACCTCCTGGAACGCAACCTTCAGATAATGTAAGAGGGCAAGCTTTCTCTAATAGAGACTGTTAAAAAAACTGTTTAAATATAGCTTTTAACTCAAATATTAAGCTAAAACTACTAAACTTCCTCGGTTATGTGATAAATTACTGTCTCAACTGTAATGGATTTTGCACCTCCTGGTACCCAACCTTCAGATAATGTAAGAATAAATATTGTTTTTAGTATTTGTTTGGGATTGGTTGCCAGTCTGTTCCAAGATATATTTAGTAGAGTGAGCTTTTTTTACTCGTTTTTTAGATACTTCCATTGTATTGAAGTATTCCAGATAATATAGGCATGATATGGTACTGACTACTGAGGGTATTGGGATTTTAAGTATTCAATGTATTGGAATTACTTCATTAATGAGCAAGGTTGGCACATTGGTGTTCCAGATTATATCACCATTGGTCATTATTGTGAACCGTTTGTTTAAGGAAGTCTGGCTTTACTCAGTTGAAACATGACAGAATCTATAGTTTTAATTAGGGCTGATCATTTTCGAATACCTGATGATTTCAGAATCGAATCGAATAATTTTTTTGAATTGAATCTCGAATACTTGGAAGGTATGAAATTGTATGTAACTTTCTCATTATTTTAGGTCCTCCAGACACATAAATTACTGAAAACATAGAATACATCACTGACAATAAAAAAACACGTTTTCATCAATACCTCAATACAGAAAAGAGGTATATGTCAGAATTGTGCTGAAAAATATGGCTTCAATGAAAAAAAAATTGAGAAATTTACCTCGACCATTGGCGGAAAGAGTTAAACAAGACGGCGGCGATTCGAAATTTGCTCTAAACCGATTCAAATAATTTACTATTCGATTCGAAATGCCCAGCCCTAGTTGTGATAATACTTTTTACACCTGTTGTGTTCTTGCAGTCAGTGCTTACAGATTCATCAACACACACGAGAACCGCGCTACTTTGTTATACAACAATTCCTAATTTTATAGGTTCCCTACCTTTCGACCAATAACGAAGACATGGGACATCGTATTGTACGGTGCAAAGGTGAGAGTGCAATCAACGGCAAATACATCGTAGAGGATTTTGCTAAAGATGGAGATGCTTGGTATCGCCACCTAGTGCTCATGTTGCGTCAGAGCATCGTTCAAACTGAAATCAGATTGAAGAAGGGTGAGAAAAATTTTATTGCTATCCATCGTGGGGTAATAAGGGGGGAAAATTATGTGTGAGATGATTGCTGTCCATTCCATCATCAAGTCTGTGCATTTGAAAACAAAATAATTGACTAAGTAATCCCATACCGGACATGGACAAGAGGCCGGTTTGCCATAAGATAATTCAAGCAATCTTATCGCTTTTCTTCTAACCCGAGATAAATATATAAATCCTATCTGTCTGCGAATCCGACCCTTGAAGAATGAAAAATCTTGGCTTCACTACAGGAGGATAAAAAATACAGCTCTGACCCAGGAGGGTAAGGGAGTGGTTACGTTATATTTTTATGATTATAATATTGGCTCAGTATAAACGTATAATTAGTAAATGCCCATACACATAACTGAAGTAACTCCCAAGACACACAAACAGGAATGAAGCCCGATCTGAAAAGAGCACATGGCTACTTCACCTTCACAGTTGGTTGGTTATGACCAGTCATCAGTGACTGATGACATCACACACAGGTCACGCTCAGCCATCTGGGAATATGATAGTTGCCAGAAATACATTAAGGATACAGTTAACATATACAGTGATAATTCAGTAGCCAACCAAAATGTTTGAGTCAAAAATGCTGCAGTACTCAAACGAAAATTTGAAGCTTCCCTACAGGGTGGCTAGACTCTGTTAATAATTCAAAAATTGTGGCATATGCAAATCTTCTGTAATTGTCTGTTCCGAATCTCCAGTCAACTCGATTTATTTTGAGTTTCTGTCAAAAATTTATACTTTAATTATTACCATTAAAAGGCTTGGTGGTGTGGCGCATCATGCTAAGCGGTAGGATTACGATTGCCACAGCACCTCTGATTACCGTGCGTGAGTTTGCAGGTTCTGATCCCACAGGTGATAATTATCTGCGAGAGGATTGCTGGACTCCTCGCCACCGCAGGGTTGTTAACGTGACAAGCATCATCAAGTCCATACTCCATCAAGTCCATGCATCTGGAAACAAATAACTGGCTAACTAATCTCATACCCGACATGGACTGATAACTGGACCAGAGGAAGTGGTTCACCATATATGGTTAAGCCGTCTTGTTGGTTTTCCTCTCCCTCTGGATAAATATGTAAATCGTATCATAAGTCTGCAAATCCAACCCTGGAAGATAGGAAAAGTTCTGGTGCAATAACATGCTGAACTTCAGCTCCACAGCCCTGGTTGGTTAAATAAAGCCAATCTCAACCTTCATCTTATGGAGAAAAAAAAACAGAATCTTATCCCCACTTTCACATTTATATTAGCCTATTGTCTTCTCAGATCCTTCTGCCAGTGGAAGAAAATCATCCAAACGTAACAAGAAGACTGATATCAGTACTGAAGGGCTCATACCAGACCATACGTACCTCACATCAGGGTATGATCAGCCTGCTATAGCTGGGGTCGTTCTGAAGTAAGTACACATACAATATGTCAATTGTTGTTGGACATATCTCCACTCGGCGGTGTAGCGCATCGTACTAAGTGTTTAGATTACACTCGCCACCGCACCTTTGATAACCCTGTTTCGCAGGTTCGAATTCCATGCCGGCATAGTTACGTGCAAGAGGATTGCTCAACACTTTGTCGCCGTAGGGTGGTTCAATAATAGTTAATAGAGAGAAATTATTAAGTTTACTTTATTTGGTAAACCAATAAACACTCAAAAATAATGCATACATATATAGAAATAATGAATAAACAGATGTTTTTGGTATTTGACTGGGAGGCAACAATATGGCCTTTGGGGTCATCAGAGTCTGTTGCCACCCACCCATAATACCGTTTGCATTCTCATCGCCACGTCCAGAATAGGTCAGCCATCGCGGGGATAGTAATGCGCGAGAGAATTGCCCTGTAGGGGTGTTCACGTAACTGCTGGTTGGTTACGGCTTCTTCCTCCATCATGTCCATGAATCTGAAAACAAAATAACAGCCTAATTAATCCCATACCCGACATGAACTGGTAAGCGGACAGGAGACTGTGGTTCGTCATATGATTAAGCCTTGTATCAGCTTCCCTCTTCCTCATGTATGACCAAATTTTATAAGATTTTTCACCAACAAATGTTGAATATAACCCTTCAAAATCACTTGGCAACCAAGATTGCAGATAACTAACTCAATAATTTCTGTATTCAAACAGGCATACACCAGATTCTGAATTCAATGCGATGGCAATCGGGGTTGGCGGTGGAGCTCTGTCGACTTTTCTTCATCATAATTTCAAAAATTGTAACTTAACAGGTAAACGCTCTACTACCATTTTCTAGAACAAGGGTTAGGATAGGATTTACATATTTACCCCAGGGGAAAGGAAAGTCAAGAAGAAGGCCTAATCATGTGGCGAGCCACGGCCTCTCATCCGGTTACCATTCCATGTCGGATATGGGATTAGTTAGCATGGACTCATGTGGAGAAAGTTATGGTTTTCAAACTAATGGTGTTATGGAGCCCCTGAAGAGGTTGACTAGTATGTACAGTCAATCTTTTTTGAATTTATGAAAATAAAGACGAAAAAGCATGATTAATGTTCCTGAGTAAACTAAAATTACTTTATTCAATGACTCTGATGTGTTTGCTGCTTTGTATTGTACTTAGCGTAAAGTAGTGTCAAAATGTGGTAACAAGGCAGTAATTGAAATATGGCATTATCTATCGGAACTTACAGATCAGTTGGGAATATGATACATATCAGTTCAACCTGTGGGCCTAAGGAATAAATGCAAAAGGCCAACATCTCTGGGCACCATTTGGGAACCGCTGCTATAATCCATTTATGGTACTCCCGTAGTATGTGTACCAGGTTAGGGATAGGCCATAATTTTATTTTGTTTTCCCTTATGTTAGTTTTATTAGTTCAGAGACTGTCTGTGTTAGCCAAGTGAATATACCCCCTGCCCATAGATTTCAGTCCCTTTATACAACTCAATGTAAAGTGGGCAAACAAAATTAGTTTCCTCCATATTAGTACACACACTTCTGGAGCGCAACATTTATTTACTTTTCTTCCAGCCGTAGAGCTTGATCCTGCCATGATAGAAGTAGCTCGAGAATGGTTCGGGCTTCCAAAGAACGGAGAGAGATTCAACGCCCATGTTGCTGATGGAATAAAATTCGTGGAAGACGAAGCAAAAAGAATAGAGGTAGCAGGGAATGAGGGTGAGATGGCTTTGGATTAAGGCTTGGGTCATGTACCCCCATTTGAGAATTTTAGTTTTGACGGACGTGCATCCTATGCTGTATTTTCTGTGGCTAACCAACAAGAAAGGATAACTGAAGCACAACCGGTGTATAGCAAAACGATATAATTTGCCGACGTTTCGAATTTCTATTCAGAAAAACTTCATCAGGGCATGATATGAAGAGTACACTATCATATATATAATATAGAGTAAAAGGATAGTAAAAATTAAACAGCGTGAAAAGCTGAAAAAAAGGGACAATATGATAATTTTTCAGCTTTTCACGCTGTTTAATTTTTACTATCCTTTTACTCTATATTATATATATGATAGTGTACTCTTCATATCATGACCTGATGAAGTTTTTCTGAATAGAAATTCGAATTGTCGGCAAATTATATCGTTTTGCTATACACCGGTTGTGCTTTATTTATCTTTAACATGAATATACCTGGTGGCAATCATGCGCTAAGAAAGGATAAGGTTTCATTTACAACACAATAACACAAACGAGAATATCGGTCAGAGACCGAAGACTTATCGATCGAAAGTTAGGGGATCCCCCAAGACAGCGCTCTTACTCCATAGTGACACCTTGTGTCCCATCACTAATTAATTAATAACTCGCTAATTATACGACATAATTCGCCCAAAATCAATAGGTTTCTGGTCCGAGATAAGATAAATGCACATGCAAAATCTGAAGCAGATTCAATCTCGCTTTCGTGAGATATCGCGTGCATCTAACAGACAAACAAACAGACATATAAATACCTATCAACACACTTACCGATTAAAATCGATAAGTAACAACATTAATGTGATTGATGAAGTTAATTCTAACTGCACAATTTATGGATTCTTGCAGCAAATTATGACAAGCTAACTCATAGATTCAACCCTACGTTCAAGTAGATTCAAGTCTCAGCCAGTGGGTAGGATAGGATAGGATTTACATATTTATCTCGGGGGAGAGGAAAGCCGATAAGACGGCTTATCCATATGGCGAACCACGGCCTCTCGTCCGGTTACCACTCCAAGTCGGGTTTGGGATTAGATTTACTGTATTGTTTGTTTTCGGAAGCATGGACTTGGGTATTTGATTAGAATCAATCATTGAAGATTGATCAGACTGTTCCCATATCGTTGCGGACCCTCTGTGCAGTCATTACTGACTCCAAGCTCATGAAATTCTGAATCAAGGGATGTCCAAAACAAATTTAGTTTTTTAATCACGATGATCTGAACCAGACGTCATCTTAAAAATTAAAAAAAAATAAAATAAAAAAAATCGTGACACATATTAAACAAATAATTTCTCGTTACAGAGAAGTATGACATCATAATTATAGATGTTGATGGGAAAGAATATTCTCTCGGGATATCATGTCCGGCTGTCAGTTTTGTCAAACTTGATTATCTGATGAAAGTTGCTAAAATCATGAAACCAGATGGTGAGATTTCTTTATTTGTCTTCTTCATGAAAATTTCCTGACAGCAAGCTGCATTCACTGAGAAGTAGAAGGGACTCATATCTGAGCAAAGTTAGGCCGATCACCTAAATGTCAACGAGCATACTATGGCCTCTTGTTCAGTTACCAGTCCATGTCAGGTGTGGAATTATTTAGCAAGTTATTTGTTTCAGATTAAGGACTAACAATTTCAGTTTGGGAGTACAAATAAGTAGTTTTAAACTTAAGCTCATGGTGAAGCTTCCACACATGCCCAGCAGTCATGAGAGACTACCGGTAATTAAAATATGTTCATTATATGTTTGACATATAATTCCAATCTCACTATATCTTATTGTGTTTGTTTTTCGGTGGACAAAACAAAATAAACACTCTATCTCACATACTATAACACGTCCATATATCTGAAACTATATACTGATTACTTTTTCCCTATCTATCTGATCTCAATAAAAAGCCAAGAGTTGTGGAAATAACCTTATTGGCTCTGGGTAAACATTGAAAATTGTTTCATGTTTCAGGACTTCTGATGTTCAATCTGTTATGTTGGGATGAAAAAATGAGGGCCAAGGTCATTTACAACCTTTGTAGAGTTTTCAAGGTTGTTGCAAGGTCACCTTGTGAGGCATTCCACAATGAATTAGTTTATTGCTTCAAAGACAAACCAAACTTTGAACCTACGACATCAACAAAATCAGCAAAAAAACGTAACAAACGAAAAAAGGGTGGAAAAAAAGCTTTCTCACCCAAAAATCTAGACCAGAATGAAACTCTTGACAAAGTTGTCAAGGAAACTGAAAATTCTTTAAATGATTTGTCTTTATCACCATCAAGTGGCCAAGAAACACTAGAGGTTGAAGGTTGTAACCATAGTGATACAATTTCAAATCCAAATAATTGTTACAGCAAGGACAATCCAACCCCGAAATCAAAAAATTATCAAATGTTGGACAATTTAAGTTTCACAAGCCCAGACTTCATCCCACCTAAGAGTAAAAAGCCGTTGCATTTGGAAAACTATCATCCAAATTTGTTTAATTATTGGAGAGAGCGAACAAAAACTTGGGGAAAGGAGCGGGAAATGTGTGCCAGTACGATTGAGTTGACACCCATGATTGAGAATATTATGGTTGAACAAGAAGTTGAATATTATATTGGGAGTGAATAGGACAAACTTCAAACTTAGACAATTTATATCAGTGGGCCGGCAACCGACGGCCCACGGAGTAATACGATCCGGCCCGCGACGCTTCACTGAATTATAGTAACGAAACAGCTGTTTTGATGATTATATTTCTACATATATTGTGAGACACGTGTGGACTGAATTATATTTTAATTTAACAAGTATAATATTTACCAATTACTCGTTTAATAAGCCTATGATTTAATTGTAATTAAACAAATGGCAACAAAACGCAGCAAAGTTGATCCCAAGTGCAAAGGGTTCAATGGCCCCGAAAATATTCAAATGGAATTTTTTGAAATGCAATGCAATGAGGAAATATATCTATATCTTATTTGAGAGATGTATCACTGCTAGATTTTTGTTATAAAAGAATCATTCGTTCGGTTTTCAACTTTTTGAAAATATGTCCGGCCCGCCAATGACTTGCAACCCATGATTTTGGCCCGCGAGCGACACAAGGTTGTCAACCCCTGATCTATATGCCAGAGCAGTGGTTCTCAAACTTTTAAGCCCCCATTTAGGAATTTGTGAAGTCTCGCCCCCCCCCCCCCCCCTCCCTTCAAAAATAACTAGCTAATAATAAGCTACAAATATTAGATCAGGGCTACTCAACTATTTTTACCGAAGGTAAATCGAATCAAGGTATTTTTATCGAATACCTTGTGATTTCAGAATCGAATCGAATACTTGAAAATATATAATTGTAAGCAATTTTTCATTATAGTAATTGGTCCTCTCAACACATGAATTACCGAAGACATATAATAAATCACCCAGATAGATTACTGAGCGCTCACACAGAATAACAAACACGTTTTATCAATAACTCACTACAGAAAATAGTCATATGTTAGAATTTCGTTGAAAAAATATGACTCCAATGAAAAAAAAATTGGGGAATTCACCCCGACCATTAGCGGAAAGATAAAAACAAGATGGCGGCGATTCGAAATTCCTGTCTGAACCAATTCGAATAATTTACTATTCGATTCGAAATGCCTAGCCCTATTCACCACATGCAAATGCAGGTCAGGTTCGTCTTCCTCCACCGTTTAGCCCAGAGGTTCCCGACCTTTTTATCTTAATTTCCCACTTCCGATTTAGGCTGAGGTATTATTTCCCACTAAATATTGACTCCGTTTTCCGTCAATAATAATTGGTAAGACTTTATGTAATGAAGGCTTGCAGTTGGTGTAAAAGTTGAAACCGTGTGAGATCATTCATTGCGCCCTCTAGCGTCCCAAAATAGTGACGAACCGTGTAAAAAATAAGTGGTATCTACCGAATAGAACAATTCAACACACAAGATTACAAAGGACGCATCAAACTTTACATTGTACCGTCAATATCAGATTTGCTTTTTTTTTTGTTGATACGATAGACCGGATGTCTGAATCTATTTTGAAAATGCGCATAGCTATTGGACAAGGAGACCCGTTCAGCAAAATATCAGCACACTCCACCAGACAAAGTTTTATCAATGTCTCACCGATGTTATGGAACTTTTTGGTCTTTGCTATTCCCAGGACAACTGCATAAGACGCGGTCACTTTAAACTTGTCTGAAATTGCCCCATGCTGTCGAATATCATTTTGCTTTTATTTTTCGTTTTTTAGCAAACTGATAAGGAAATGGAGGGGCTCCCGAAGTATGCGAACCAAGATGGCGGACATCGGAATGTAATATGTGTATTAGGTTAGGGTTAGGCCATAATTTTAGGTATAAATACTACGGGAGGCTCTTGGCTAGTCTTCGATAATAGGACTAAAATAAGGAAAATTGGAAAAAAATTATCCCCTAACCTGTAACCCATGTTACGTTCCGATGTCCGCCATCTTGGTTCGCATACTTCGGGAGCACCGAAATGGATATTGGAAATATGTTGCTTCATTTGATGGGGCTTCATAGAACCATTGGAGATGGCTTCCGTACAAACAACGCATTGCGTCAGTTGCTCAAAATGTTTCTTCAAAAACGTGAAACGTAGCCGAGATAAATATGATTACACATTAGCCATTATCTTTATTTCAAGTTGACCACAATGACGGGATGGACCAGGCATTTGTTCATCAGAGCGTATGCCTACCCGATATTTCCAAGACATTTGAAAATAGACTGTGCCCCTTAGCGACTCTTCAACGAAAATCTTTTTGCGTAACAATCGGAGCCTTGGTACTCATTTGAGACCTGTATGTGAGGTCGACAAAAGGTCAAAATTAGTTACATGAGCGCGATCAGACTAAAATGGCCAACGCCGTGATAGTTTACCAAAGTTTCAATTATATATAATAATTGTGTTATTGTGCGTATATTTTTAGAGGAGCATTCTATTTCCCACCAGGAACCCCAAAATTTTCTCACTAGTGGAAAAATTCCCACCGGTTGGGAACCGCTGGTTTAACCCCATGCCCATGGAAAACTATACTTGGAAGTTAACTATTCTCATATCTCAGTATTTTCCAACCGTCTTCGTTAAATTCCTCTCTTTCTCTAAAAATAAATTTTGTATCCAAAATCAGTCTTTCTCTGATAAATTTTGCCGCTCTGTTAAAGCGTTAAGTGAATTACTTGCAAGCAGATTCTCATCCTTCGCCAGCCAATTCTCCGGAATGACATTGGGCGCGAAGACATGCCTGTACTTTTCAACATAGCAACCACAGGTAAGTTCCCCCATCTTCCAAACCCCCTTTAAATGTTTAGAATCAGATATTCCCAAACCCAACTTGGATAGTAGCTTTGTGGAAACAGTTTGTCTGACCAAGGGATTTGATAAACTATTGAGCATATGTAAATTTATTTCATGTTCTAGATCAGTATATATATATATAACCAGTAGTGGGATTCAGCCGGTTCTATAGAACCGTCTCATGGAATTTTATGAGATCAGCGAACTGATTAGCATTACTGAAAAAAAAAACATGACTTTTTGTAACAGAACCGCCTGAAAAATATGACTTTTGTATGGATGGAACCGGCTGACAAAAAATTTGAATCCCACCACTGTATGTAACTACACGAACATGGCTACAGTGAGCGTAGGAGATGATAATCACGGACGGAGAAGAAGGGTCTTGATGTAAATTACTCAACCGGTCCATTAGGCCTATTCAGTGTAGAACATATAGAACAGAAATCTTCACCATACGTATGTTTGGAAGGTATAAATTTCAAAAAACTTGAATTGAGTTTAAAGGAGTAAACTGAACCTCTGTCACGCTAGCGAAATCCTGCTGCTCAAAAATACGATGTCATAAAAAGTGTTTCATTATAAAATTTATGAATAAAAAATGATTTAATTGCACTAAGCAAATGAGGTCTAAAAAATTTTGTGTATAGAATATATACTCTAATTAAATTATGTAAGTTGTGCAATGAAATGTTGTATAAATGTCAAAAACTTGTATACGTGAATAACAAATGAGGTCAATCAAATGAAGAAATTCGAAAAAACTCGATCAGATTTCTAAACAAATTATTTTTTAATACAACGCAATAACGTAAATTTCACAGAAATCCGAAAAATCGATAAATTGACTCAAAATTTGAACAAGATCCGAGGGAAAGATGTTGAATCCAGCTAGCTATACGTGTCAATTTATAAATTTTTTCGATTCGATTTTTTCGTTATTTTGTTGTATTAAAATTTTTTGTTAAACTCTCCTTTCAATCATAAATGTTTTCTGTTATCAGATGCTACATAATAGTGTTCAATTTACAACTCTACCTTTCCGTGGCTATTGATTAAAAATACTTTGCAACGTGGAAACACACTTTTATGACATCGTATATTTTTATGTAGAATTTCGCTGACGTGACAGTGGCTAAACTGAGTGTAGGTAGCGCACGAATTTAGTGCTATAGTAGTAAATTTCCACATGGAGCCCATAGAAATTGATTTTCCCTGTAAACCTCGCGCCACTTATTTTGGGTCAAGTCGTTGCCCTTCTAGGTCATTACCGTCATTTCCCATTGAAGTATCAGTGTTTGTGATGACAACAATGCTTGTGTGGTTGGTTGTGACCTCAGAATGTTTTTATTTCTTAATCCATTGTTGTGCAACAAACTGGACTCGTTGTATGTTCACTGTTGCGGAACAAATGCCGCAGTCGCGTGATGGACACATCTGGAATTTTGATCTGAGCGAAAATCCCCGAGCATTGTGATTTCCTGTGTGCATGTTTAGGCCATAGTTACTTACTTGAAGGACTGGAAACGAACTGGATATATCTATCGATTGTCAAATTTTTGTTGTTAAGCTGTTGTTACTGGAACTCTAGGATCTTTTGTACGAAGCCCCCGTCACCACTCAAAAGAAAAAAATTAGTAGCCTAATTATCCGGATAGGGCGAAGGCTAGGAATGCAAATTGTGTTTGAAATTCAAATTTTCAAAGCATTCCTAACTGGATAAATACTAATTTGTTATTTTAAAACGTGGGGTGGGTGTTTTTCTCAAGTGTCACATTTCTTGCATTAGTGACGGGGGGCTTTGTAGAAAATATCCTCACTCTATCAATTTTTTTACCTTTAAATAGCAAGAGTAATGATGATTACGTGATCGGCATTTTGAGGGCCCGCAGGTTTGATTTTAGGGGCTGGCATCGCGAGTCACTGTAAATCAGGGATGGTCAATACGATTTCGGACGGGCTCTCGATATTGCCGAGATATTGCAGCTTGCCGAGAATCCCTGCACAGTACTTTCGTTCTGCCGCGCACTGCATGAGTATTGACAATTCTGCGTTCGTTTAAAATGTTGTGTTCTTCTCTATTTTTTTCTAATTTTCCGCGCCGACCATTGTTCTAGAGCTTACATGGTCTTCTATTCCGCGCAACTAAGCAAGCTCTTAGAGGGAACGTTGATTGGCAATGGACAAGTCGTCGTTCGCCATATGATTAAGTCGTTTTATCGGCTTTCCTTTTCCCCCGGGGTAAACATGTGAATCCTATCATATCCCAGAATTCACAAGCAAGCTCACGCTCACAATTCTATCTTTTTACTTTTTTTATATCAAGACCGAAATTTAATTTGGGTTAAATTCCGCGACATCTACACCTAGTATGTACCCAACTCGTTGCATTAAAACTCACAAACAATAGGAAGGGGTTAAAGTTCAAGAGCTTGTGACGTAAGAAAGAGTATCATATTCTAACCTTGAATAATTAGAACTTGGAGTCTGGTTGTCGCGCACGAAGAAATTTTATATTCGGGGGATTTTTGATCTGTAAAAATGAGGGTTTC